GGGTAACCCGGTTACGACATGGGAGCCCGTTTATGGTAGCCGCGAGTGCTGATTGGCGAGCAACGGTAAAGCCTCACGGTAACGAAATTAAAGCGCCAATTATTAATCCCTGGTTGCGAATTTGAGAAGAAAAATGCGGTCGTGTGCTGGAAGCATGTCAGCTAAGCATTGTCGCGTGCTGGAAGCTTAGTCATCGAAACATTGTCTGGAAGCATTGTCAGGTAAGCATCTGTGCGGCGTATCAAGAAGCTGCGCATCTCGCGGTGAGCATCGCACGGTGGAGAATCGCATCTAACGGCGAGCCGACAGTACATGGCAGTAGTGTCGGCCGTCAATGCGTCCACTCCCGTTGAGTATTGCCTGTGTGAGGCTGTTTGCAGGAGGGAAGCAGTACGGCAAAACAGTCCGGTGAAAGCAGTAACCAGCTGCGGAGACCTAAAAGGAGCTTCTGCGGCAGTCGTGTCGGCCGTCAATGCGTCCACTTCCGTTGAGCACCGTTGATGTGAGGTTGTTTGCAGTGGCAGGCGAGAAGCGGTACGGCGAAAAGCAGTCTAGCGAAAGCAGTAACCAGCTGGGAGGAACCAAAACAGCTTCTGTCGTTTGACATTTATTCCGTGAGCAGAACGCGAAAAGAGGCCATTTCTCTGCTTCCATGCCAAACAACCATGCGTCAACGAAACATTAGTCGTATACTCTAATCCCGCTCAGTGCATAGCTGCGATATTACGAAAATAAAAGTTGATTAGAGCCTCATTAAATATCTCGAGCCGCTGACTACGAGCTCGGACAACCTAACAGCACCAACTCGGAGTCATCAGTTGGATGGAAAACCTAAAAACTGAAATGCCGACGGAAATTGAGGTGGATAGGTGAGTGTGCTAGGCGGCTAGGGTGAGTTGGGCAGTTTGCCGTAACCCTAACGGACGGCAGGTGAAGCTGAGTGTCGGGATTCACAAATCCTTACTGAGGCACTCGTTAGCGAGGTCATCCCGAGGGTCACGCGACGAACCTGTCTTGCCTATTTCGTCGCACCGAACCACCCCCGAGTCGGCCTCCGCTCCAAACGCAACCATCACCGAGCCATCCCATCCCGAGCCCCCCGCCTAGCTAGCTTTTCCCCTATTTAGGCCTCCCTACTTCATTGTTTCTTCATTGAGTAATTCAGTCATTTCCATTCTCGTTATTCGTTTTACTGCGCACTCTGCAAGTTGATTCATAACACTGAGTCCATAGAAAATCTTTGCGGGGAAGATACGTTTGGGTTTTTTTGTTCGCTGCGCTGATTTCGAATATTTCAAGTTGTCGGTGGCGTGGCGAATGAATTTCTGTATCGAGTACAGAAAGTGTGGTGAGGGAAAACCCGTAGAAGCATTCGAAGTACCTCACTACACAGCAGAAACACAGTGCTACTACAGTGCACGTCTAGAAAATCGTTTGGTGGTGTGGCATTCCTTTCCTACACATCCTTCCCTCCCCAAACCATGTGCCACTTTTGACATGTCTAGAAAATCGTTTCCTGCACACCCCTCGCTTCCCAAACGATGTGAGCTGGGTCCACTTGAGCCCAGACACCCCCTCCCTCAGCGCAGCCCAGACACCCCCTCCCCCAGCGCAGCCCAGACACCCCCTCCCCCAGCGCAGCCCAGACACCCCCTCCCCCAGCGCAGCACACACCCTCAGCAGTACTGGAAGCACTTGGAGGGAAGCTGCAGAGGGGTGCGAGGCACATGTGGCGCAGCAGTGTAGCATTCCTTCCCTACCCGCCCCTGCCTCCCCTCCCCACACCATGTGCCTTAAAGCCCTCTTGAGGTAAGGCACTCCCTCGCCCAGCACAGCACACAGCGGCACCACTGGCACTGGCAGACCCAACTCCCTACTCCCACACACACCTTCCTTCCCACACCATGTGGCTTAACGCCCTCTTAAACTTCGGCACCCCCTCCCCTCCCCTCCCCCAGCACAGCACAGCACACAGCGGCACCACTGGCACTGGCAGATCCAATCCCTTCATTTCCTCCCTCACCTCTCACCCCCATACCAAGCGCCTTAGAACCCCCTTGATCTCAGGCACCCCCTCCACCAGAATTGCACACAGCGGCACCACCGGCACTGGCAACAACACATCCACCCCTTCACCTCCGCCTCTCAGCCGCCTTCTCAGCTCAGTCAAATTGCCCTCTGCAGCATCCTCGTCCATCTTATTGGCGGCAATGAGAGCAGGGCGCAGGGACAACCCTGGCTGATACCGCTCCAGCTCACTCACCAGCACCTGCAGCTGCTGCCAGGGAGGGAGGGCCCCTGCCGACACTGAACTACGTTCGGTAGCACTAGGTTCGGTAGTGGTAGGTTCGGTTGCGCTAGCTTCACATGCGCCAGGCTCGCTCGCATGAGGTTCACTTGAAACAGTACTGGTATTGGAGCCGCTCATATCGAGGACGTAGACAATCACTTTAGTGCGCTCCACATGCCTTAGAAAGGACAGCCCCAACCCCCTGTCCCTGTGTGCGCCGCCTATCAGGCCCGGGATATCTGCCACTGTGAATCCCATCTCTCCTTCCAAATCCCACTTCGACCCCCTCTCTCCACTCCCTCCTGCAAATCCCCTATCTTCTCCCCACACAATCTCATCCCCCTCCTCTTCCTCCCCCCTCTCTCCGTTCCACGCGTCGTCACCCCTCGCCTCTCCCTCCCCCATTGCTTTCCCTCCCCCAACCCCGTCCTCTCCCTCCCACGCACTCTCTCCCCCGCCCATCACAGAACCCAGCTGCGGGTGCAGAGTGGTAAAGGGATGCCAGCCCACTCTAGGCTTGGCGCGGGACAGGGCGCGCAGGAGGGAGCTCTTACCCGCATTCGGCAGCCCCACCAGCCCCACATCCGCCACTGTTTTGAGCTCTAATGCCACCACCGCCCTGCTCCCTGGGCTGCCCTTCTCATGCCCTAAGCCAGACTCTGCCACTGCCGCTGCTGCTGCCCCTGCACCGCCCTGCACCGCCCTGCACCTTGCATTGCCCTTCCCGTGCGACGAATCCAATTCTTCTTCCGTCTCCATCTCCCACGGTTTCACTCGTCCCATGGAGGCATTCCCCCTACCGCCCGGCCCTCCAACCGCCACTGTCACGCTCTGCCCTTCCTCCACCAGATCGGCCACCAACACACCTCGCTCCTGCGCCCTCTTATGTGCCATCCCATGGGATTGTAACACACTGTCATTCTCACTCCCCTCATCCCAATCGCTCCCATTGCCCCCTTCATCGGCCCGAGCTCGCCTCTGCCCGTACCTCTCCTCACCCCACTGCTGCAGCAGCTGCTGCCAGTACGAGTCTCTGTTCACTCTTCTTCTCACCTTCCTCTCCTCCCCCTCCCCTTCTCCCTCTCCATCCCCCTCTCCCTCCACTTCCTTCCCCTCCATTCGCTCCCCCATCCGTTCCTCCTCCTGATCCGCCTTGGAGGACTCGAACAGAGCCGCCCACCAGGGGGGAGAGGCAGGCATGCTGCTGCTACCAGCAGCAGCTGTTGGTGCAGAAACAGCAGCAGCAACGGGAGCACTGGCAGCACTGGCATCACCAGCATCACCAGCAGCGCCACCACCACCAGATTCATCCCCAATACCCCCCAGGACAACTTCCCCTTCCAGCAAATACACCGCAGTCCCCACAGGCACCCTCACCTCCCTTTCCACCCCTTTCGCCCCCACCCGCTTCTTACTCGATCCATGCCCGCCCGCGCCCCCCTTCACTGTCCTATCAACATTCCCCAGATGCCTCACAGCCGCCGAGGCAATGAAAGTGACCCCCCCACCCTCGCCCCCGTTGCCCCCGTCGCGGTCCCCGTGCCGCGCGTGCCGCGACTTGCGGAAGGAGGAGCACCCGCTGCCCCCGCGCCCGCCTTCCACGCGCACGCGCAGGCGATCGATGAAGGGGCGGTCGCGGGGAGGGTCGGGCTTTGATGATTTCTTCTTGCTGCTGCTGCTGCTGTTGGTGGTGCTGGTGGCGGTGGTGGTGGAGCTGAAGCTTCGGCTGCCCCCGCGCCCGCCTTCCACGCGCATGCGCAGGCGATCTATGAAGGGGCGATCGCGGGGTGGATCGGGCTTCGATTTCTTTGACTTGCCACTGCTCGTGGTGGTGGTGGTGGTGGTGGTGGTGGTGGTGGTGGTGGTGGTGGTGGTGGTGGTGGTGGTGGTGTTAGGGCTAGTGTTGGTGCTGGCGGTGCTGCTGATGCTTCTGCTGCAACTGGCGCTGCTGCCACTCCAAGCAGCCGACCTGAAACTATGCCCATGGCAGATACCCTGACTGGTGTTGCTGCCGGTGGCGCTGCTGCTGCTTCTGCTGCTGCTGGTGCTGCAGCTGCTGCTTCTGCTGCTGCTGGTGCTGCTGCTGATGCTTCTTCTGCATCTGAGGCTGTTGCCACTACTGGCAGCGGAGCTGACACTATGCCCATGGAGGAAAAGGCCTGGACTGTTCATCAGGTGTGGTGCAAGTGCGGGAAAACCGCTGTGGCTAGGTGCATGTGCGGGGGAAAGGGCGGAGAGGGAGTGGGTGGGGGTGTGCGTGTGGCTGAAAACGGGGCAGCTGGTAGGGAGGTAGGCAATATGGGGGGGGAAGAAGAAGAGAAAGGAGATGGAGGAGGAACTAGAAGGTTGGGGTGGAGTGGGGAGAACGGGAGGGTAGACTAGAGGACAGACGAGGGGAGGGGGGAGGAAATGGTGGGATATGGATAGGTAAGAGAGACAGAGGAGACGGAAAGAGCAGGAGAGTAGACTAAAACGAGGAGAGAACAACAGAAAGTTTGAAGCAACGAGCACTCTCCTGGCTGCAAAAGTGGCAAGTATGAAACAAAGAAAACCAAATCGTGATTCAGCTTTAACTGTGATTGTCATTGATACAGCAAAGTCACCCCAACCCAAACAAGGAAGTGCAAGCAAGCACGGCTAGAGACGAATCGGACAAGCAACAATTTGAGTCAGAATCTTCAGAATCTACGGTGATGAAAACACAAGGGTGCTAATGCTCCTCCTTTCCGAATCCATGCACAATGCTAATCTGCATCAGAGAGAGAGAGACACCCACACAGGAGGATATATGCAGAGCGCACAGATAGTCACATACACGCCATGCATGCACGTACGCACAGACCCACACATACAGTCACGTACGTACACATGCACACACAGAGGCATACACAGAGGCACACACAGTCACACCAAGACGGTTGATGAGATGAGGTGAGTGAGGTGAGAGAGAGCCAGTGCATGCGGAAGCAACAGGCAACAAGCTGCTGGAAAGATGGCTTACGGTAACAAAGGGTGCTGTAAAGTGGACGCTGCTTAACAAGGAGTGCTGTAGGGTGGACGCTGCTCAACAAGGAGTGCTGTAGGGTGGACGCTGCTTAACAAGGAGTGTTGTAGGGTGGACGCTGCTCAACAAGGAGTGCTGTAGGGTGGACGCTGCTTAACAAGGAGTGTTGTAGGGTGGACGCTGCTCAACAAGGAGTGCTGTAGGGTGGACGCTGCTCAACAAGGAGTGCTGTAGGGTGGACGCTGCTCAACAAGGAGTGCTGTAGGGTGGACGCTGCTCAACAAGGAGTGCTGTAGGGTGGACGCTGCTCAACAAGGAGTGCTGTAGGGTGGACGCTGCTCAACAAGGAGTGCTGTAGGGTGGACGCTGCTCAACAAGGAGTGCTGTAGGGTGGACGCTGCTCAACAAGGAGTGCTGTAGGGTGGACGCTGCTCAACAAGGAGTGCTGTAGGGTGGACGCTGCTCAACAAGGAGTGCTGTAGGGTGGACGCTGCTCAACAAGGAGTGCTGTAGGGTGGACGCTGCTCAACAAGGAGTGCTGTAGGGTGGACGCTGCTCAACAAGGAGTGCTGTAGGGTGGACGCTGCTCAACAAGGAGTGCTGTAGGGTGGACGCTGCTCAACAAGGAGTGCTGTAGGGTGGACGCTGCTCAACAAGGAGTGCTGTAGGGTAAACGCTGCTTACCTCTTGGGGGAAGGGAGGGTTGCGAGCGTACTTGGATCCGCCGTACACCCACGGCACTGCGGTGGGGAGGGGGCGGGGGGGCAGAGACGAGGGCGGATTGGGGGGACGGCGGAGGGGGAAGGGAGGAGGGCGTGGGGCGAAGGGAGGGTTGCGAGGATACTTGGATCCGCCATACACCCATGGCACTGCGGTGGGGAGGAGGGAAGGGAGGGAGCAGGAGGGACGGGGGAAGGGGGGGAGGAAGGAGAGGGCGTGACGTGGGGAAAAGAGAGGGTTGCGTTGCGAGCGTACTTGGATCCGCCATACACCCACACCCATGGCACTGCGGTGGGGAGAGGGAGGTTCATAGGGGATGGAGAACGGGGTGAGGGGGGAATAGAAGCGGAGAGAATGGGAGGAGAGCCCATGGGGAGAAGAGAGGGTTGCGTTGCGAGCGTACTTGAATCCGCCATACACCCACACCCATGGCACTGCGGTGGGGAGGGGACAAGGAATGGGGGCACGGGGAACGGGCGGGCGGGAACGGGGAGGGGGAAATGGGGGGACGGGATGCAGGTTGGCCTTGAGCTTGCGATTTGTGATGAGCGATTCTTGAACGCCTTAAAACGCCATATGCCGCTGAACCATGGCTAACTCACTCACAGAGGTACGGGTCAGGATGTAGGTTCCCCTTGAGCTTGTGACCTGTGATGAGCGATCCTTGAGCTTACTTCGGGTTCAGGCACATCAAGGCTGCCCTCGTGCCATGGCTCACTCACCGAGGTACGGGTCGGGGTGCTGGTTCTCCTTGAGCTTCGCCTCTCCCGCTGCCAGCAAACGGTCAATCCGATCCGGATCGCTCTGGCCGGGGGGAGTGGCGGAGAGGGGAAGGCGGAAATGGGGGAGGGAGGGAACGATAAGGAGGAGAAGGCGGAAAAAAGGGAAGGTGGCCTTCTTAGAAAGAGGTATAGAATGCACGGAGAGAGGAATGAGATGGAAACAAGGGATTCGGCATGAGCCGCGACCCTCAACTTCAGAGACCTCTCAATCGCACTGCATGCGTGCGAGCGTGCGTGCATGCGTGCGTGCGTGCGTGCGTGCGTGCGTGCGTGCTTGCATGCTTGCGTGCGTGCGAGCGTGAGGAACATGCGTCGCCATGGACAAATGCACCAATCTGTCCGGCCGCCTCACCTCATGTCGATTCGCCTCGAACAGCGCGCGGAGCTTGTCGGCCTGCCACGCGAAATCAGCGCGAAAGCAATAGCAACGCGCAATGGCGCGCATGCAATAGCGCGTACGGAATATCACGCGCGAGCACAGTGCGATCGTCGCGGAAAAACATTCGCACGCAAATACGGAAAGATCGTTAGTTGAAGGTAGTTTAGAAGCAGATCCTTGACGAGCTTAGTAACGAAACGACGTCTGAGCACTCGCCTCGTCGTAGTAGATGTCGCGAAAAATCGCCCAGCTGAGCGTGTTCTTGAGCGATCGGCGGTACAGCTGCCTCGCGCGCTGCTGCTGCAGCTCCCGTCGCAGGGTCGCGGCCGTGGCGGCGAAGCTCATGGCGGAATGTGGAGGCGGAACGAGGGTGCGGAGGGAGCGGAGAGTGGGGAGCGGAGACGGAGGGCGGAGGCGGAGGGAGGAAGCCGAAGGAACGTAGTACCGACACGGAGTTGAGACGTAGCTAGAATGTGCACCCTGGAGCTTGGAAGGGAAGAGAATCCTCGATATTCTCGTATTCGGTAGAACCAGCTTGAATAGAACCGCGAACATTTCCATTTACAAATTCTGCGGTGTACTTGCGCTAAGATACTTTCTAGGTTCGGTGACCTGCCTCCGCGCGAGCCAATCAGCGGTCACCTCCACCAATCTCCTCGCCGCGTCTCCCTAGGTTCACCAGGCCACAATAACCACTAGGCTTCTCCTCTCTTACCTCCCTTACCACAGAGGAGGCCGAACCTCCAATCACTCCACCTATCCTCTCCTGTTATCCATCCAGACCTGACAGCAACACTCACCTCTCTCCACTCGTCTTTCCTCTCCGTCCTACTGTTGCTTCTCACCGGCTTGGTCCTGGTCGCCAGAATTCTTACAACTCACTTGTTCCTCTCTTCTCTAAATATTTATGGCTGCCAGAGCTCCAAGTGCAGCCATTGCCCTTCTCCGCTCATCGGCGATCCCGCATTTTCTCTCCCCACGGCCTTTGCTAGCTGCGGCTCATCTCTCTCATCCTCTCGGGGTGTTGAATCCCGTGCCTCGTCCCTTATCTTCTGCGTCTCCACTCCCATCACGCAACCTCTATAGTTTGAGTACCAGTGTAACAACCTTCTCGTCGTTTCAACCCCGAGCTACACCCCAGAGTTCACGGCTATCCCTCGCTCGTTCCTCCCTAGCTTTCTCGTCTAGCCTCGCGCGGCTCGCGACTCTCAGAACTAGCAACGAGTCACATTCACCATCGTCTCTTTCGGTGCTCAGCCGTGAGAAGGCTGTTTTCCGCGCGATGGGAAGCGTAGCGACGGAGAATGGAGCGGCGGGTGCGGGAGAGGAACAGATGGATGCGGTGCAGCAGCGACTCATGTTCGACGACGAGTACGTCACAAGCCACCGATGCTGATTATCCACGCCTTTCGACTTACGATGCTCCCAACCGTGCATGAAACGTTTGTTAGGTGATGACCACTAGGAGTTGATCATTAAGGTGTTGACTACTTAACGGGTCTCCTGCATTGACTATTCATAATATTTTTATCCTTCCGGTACCTGCCGTCGCAGGTGCATTCTCGTAGATGAAAACGACAAGGTGGTGGGTCACGCCAATAAGTACACCTGTACGTAATGAGTAACCTTGGGATAAGTTCCAGCATTGGACGCAATTTCATCTTCAACCAAACACGAACATGTCATTCGTTCTCTCGCCGGGCTATCACGGCCTATCGCGGAGAATGTTGGCGAACACGCATGGCTTACAGTGTTTTCTGAGATGACTCAAAAGCACCTCATTTCATAACTCTCCTTACAGGCCACATTATGGAGAACATCAATAAAGGGACCGCACGCCACCGTGCCTTCAGCGTCTTCCTTTTCGACTCCAAGCACCGCCTGCTGCTCCAGGTACCGAAAAACGAAATTATGGAGTGCATCAATAATTCATTTTCTCAGCAGAACCGCAAATGTATCCTAGCCTGTACAGGTGTAACGAAGTATTAGGTCTACGGAAGTTCACAGGCTGGGTGCATATATGATGCATGTTCCATCAGACAAACATAACATTGATTCTGATCCTGCTACTTGATTGTAATGGAATCCCCTCGATAACCCTATTTTATCCCTCCCCGCAGCAACGTGCAGCGTGCAAGGTGACGTTCCCCCTGGTGTGGACCAACACGTGCTGCAGCCACCCACTGTACCGCCCGGAGGAGATGGAGGAGGAAAACTCGCAGGGAGTGCGCGTAGCGGCGCGGCGCAAGCTGGAGGACGAGCTGGGAATCGACCCAGATACTGTGGATGTGTCGGCCTTCACGTGCCTTGGCCGCATGCACTACAAGGCTCCTTCTGACGGGAAATGGGGCGAGCATGAGAGTGAGTGCATGCTTTGAGCACTGATCAGAGGTGAAATTGCATCATGAATCTGCCCCTCCTTGTCAATGTGGTGGAACCTCGTCACTGTCAAGGTGGTGGGTGGGATCTCGTCCATGATGAAATGTCGTGCATGATGGTGCCTAAATATCCTGCTAGTGTGTAGTTGATGGTTCCTTATTTCCCCTCTCTATGCCACAAATTCACATCTTCTGAACCCGAACCTTATCATGCCTTGCATATCTTATTTTGTATCCTTACTGCTCCTCTTCTGTTGATGCAGTTGACTACCTCCTAGTACTCAAGGCTGACTTGAAGGCCACTCCAAACCCTAACGAGGTGGCTGCTGTAAGATTCGTGGATCGAGAGGAGTTGAAGGAGCTGGTGCGCAAGGCTGACAAAAAGGAGGATGGAGTGGTGCTGTCGCCATGGTTCCGTCTTGTAGTGGACCGGTTCCTCCCTGCCTGGTGGGACCATCTAGATGCAGGCACGCTCACAGAGGTGGTTGATATGGAGAAAATCCATCACTTGTAATTATGTTACAGTGTACTCATGAATTATCCGATTATGTGATAGAGCTGTATATCATCATGCCTAGAACAGATACGGTACAGATGGAACCATTCCAAAGTGGGATTCACATGTGTGGTAAAGTATGTCCAGAAAAGAAAACGACATACCATACGCCTTACAGTGGCATGTGGTTCCAAGATTCCATCTGACAGAAATTCCCTCCCCTCCCGTGAAGGCGTCAGCAACACGCGCCAAATCCGTTAGACCACCAAGCAAATACCTATCGGACGGATAGCTTGCTCGTTCCTAGGTTCAGTTCAGTGGCTTCAAGCCAGTGCGTCGCATGCCGCGAGTGCCATGGCGGACTGGGATCTCGACCCTGCTGCTTTGTTCGGCGACAAGGACGGCGACGATGACGAAATTCCTCAAGTACGCGAGTTGATGGTAACCGGCTCTAGTGTGCGTTCAGTTAACGTGTCTAGTAGCGCGTTGAAGTCGACGATTCAGCAGGGTCCGAGCGATGCTGCATTCAGCCGCTCCTCTTTATTTGAATGCCAAGATTACTTCAGAATCGTCGCATTCGTCGTCATTTTGCTGCTACATCATCCTAGCCTGACGCAACGGATGTAATATACTTCCAGGGGATGTTCTTTACCCGTGACAATCTTCAAGCATGTTATTCGCTTAGAGTGTTATTAACCACCTTACATATTTCTCACAGCTTCCCCCTACCCTGATTTCGTGCCTGTCAGGACTATTCCGACGGCAAGGAACTGGTGGTGTTCCTCATAGATGCAGGGCCGGATATGTTCCTGCCTTACCACGACGACGAGGTATGTCGATATGCTGACTACCTATCAAATGCATCTCTGAGGCGCCTCAAAAGTGGTCTTTTTCATAGGTGCAGGACCGAACATTTTCCCGACTTACCACGACGACCAGGTGTGTGTATGTTCATTGGATTTTTTTTTCACTTTTTATGCTGATCAGCTGAATGAATGTCAAAGTTCCAACCTTGTTCTGTTTCACTCACATTGATGACATTCTTAGCCAACCAAATCCCCAGCCATTTCCTGATCTTTTTGCGTAGCATCCATGGCATTGTATTTCATGCAGGAAGAGGTTGAGGCAGGAGCTAGCTTAGGTACTCAAACCAGTGCGGCCAGCTTAGAGAGGCAGAGAGGAGGGGAGGAGGGCACGGGAGGTGCCGGCGAGAGGACGTATTTCGAGGAGGTGTTGCGAGCGCTGGTGGGTGACCTAAAGACAAGAATTATTTCCCGGGAGAGCGACCTCGTCTCGATTGCTTTCTTCAACACGGTAGGTGGATCTTTACACTCGACTTAAGATTCTCCCCGCTGTTGGGTGACCTGAAAACGAGGATCATCTCTCGGGAGATCGACCTCGTCTCCATTGCTTTCTTCAACACGGTAGGTGGTTGAATTCTTTGAATCGACTCACATGTCAGCTCGCTGGTGGGTGTCCTGAATGCTTGCTTGGGAGAGCGACCTTCTTTCCATCACTTCCTTTCAACACTGCTCACATCACATGCATCTTGTTGCTTGTTGATTCTCTCTTTTTCTTTCTTTCTTTCTTTTGTTGTTCCGGACATTATTTGTGTCCGTCTCCGCTGTGTGATGCAACAAAAATAATTCATTTTGCTGGTTCTGTTCTCAAATGGCAGCGCACGAAGCAAAATGTACAATCGGCAGAGGGCGTGTTTGTGTTTCAGGACAACCAGCAGACGTCAGCACAGCTCATCAGAGACTTTTCAAACCTTCCAGGTGCCCTTCTGAACCGATCCAAACCCACTGAATACCTCACCGGTCTCTTCGATTGTAGCCCCATGCATTCGGCAAACAGGCTGTCCTTGCACCGCAGCCAGTTCCCTCCAGTGATCCGGCATTTCTTTGCAACAGGGGACCTGCCTCTGAAACTAGCTTTGTGCAAAAAAATTGGCCCCACTCCTTTGACTCTGTTCGCCTGTTAACGAAACGATTAGGGTGCAACCCATGCCATCATTATTCAGTTCTCACCCACCAACATCTGCTTATCTTCTGATTTCTGTTTACCGCCCTGCCATTCTGCCGTGCTGCCAACTTCCAGAGACGTTTGAGAAAGATATTGGGTCGGGAAACTGGTTGAGGGGGAAGGTGAAGCCCCACGACAACCCAATGTGCGTCTCCCATTAGGTTACTGGTTCTACCAATGTTCAGTGCAAATGGTATCGTGATGCTGTGCTTTTCTTTACTGTACTGCCTTTGGGTTGTCTTCTACCATCGGGTTGTCCTTGCCATCAGATTAACACGGTTTGTTGTGCAGTTAGCTCGGCTTGAAGGCATTCAGTGCGTTTCTCGTTGCAACGCGCTCTTCCAACATGTCTTGATTCGTGTGTTTCCATCTCTTTCTTCATTTGTTCTCCCTTGTGTGCGTGCATGCATGTGTGGGGGAGCATCTCTGACAACGTGTAGCTCAAATGCCCTGTAGGCCCTCTCAACTCTTAGCCACCGTCCTCTCAACTCTTAGCCACCGTCCTCTCAACTCTTAGCCACCGTCCTCAACTCTGAGCCACCGTCCTCTCAACTCTAAGCCACCGTCCTCTCAACTCTTAGCCTCGGTCCTCTCAACTCTTAGCCACCGTCCTCTCAACTCTTAGCCACCGTCCTCTCAACTCTTAGCCACGGTCCTCTCAACTCTTAGCCACCGTCCTCTCAACTCTTAGCCACCGTCCTCTCAACTCTTAGCCACCGTCCTCTAAACTCTTTGCCACTGTCCTCTCAACTCTTGCACTCTGATCATGCACTCTACGCATAACCAGGGGTTTTCCGGCCATCTGCAGCTCATATGCCCTGAAGCCTTCTGTTGGACCACGTTATCCTCTCTCACATTCTTCCTCTACAACCTCTGCACACCCCGTGCACTGAAGTGACCTTTTTTTTTTTGCCATATTTCCTCTTTGCTCTCCTGAATTTTTTATTTCCTTCCTTCAGGTGGGTCGTGCAAGGGCTTCTGCGCACTGGGTACGTCCCACCCGCTTCCCCCTCCCCTGGTATCTATCTTTGTACAGATTATTCTCGAGTTGCTGTAGTTTCAATCAACCCTCAAGAAAACATTCCTGTCCATTTCCTTCTGTCCCGTATCCCTCCTCCTGTCCCGTATCCCTGCCTCTCGTCTTTTCTGTCACTGTTACTGCTCCTTTTAGCCCGTGAGCCTGTGTATTCTGTGTACACCTTACCCTCTGTCATTCTCGTTTTGCAGCACTTGCATTATCTCACGGAAAATAGGAGTGTTGCGTTATCTTACAAAGCACTTGTCTCACGTGGTCACATGTGTGAACGGGAATCCCTTTTCAGATTTTTCAAGAGCATAGATTCACTCACATGGTGGCTGCATTAACAATGCGCCAGTATCACGAGGACATATGATATCCCAAAAACAGCTAGGGTTGCATCATCTCAAACAGCCGTGTCGAGTGTGCGAAGGTGCTTTCATCTCGTTCGTCACCCTCCTTTCCTCAAGATCGGCTCTGAGTCACACGAGGTGGTGAAGGAGGTGCTTGCATACAAATGACGACTACCCATTGGGGGGACCATTCCCGTTTCTCGTTTCAGGTGGTCATATGTACAAATGTGCTTGTCTGCCTCCCTTCTCCTCTGCCAAGCCCCAGCTCGACGGCACAGGAGGTGCTGAAGAACGTGCTGCCATTCACCAATGACGATCACCCACTGGTTTGGGGGCATCCATGTTCCAGATGTTCGAGTGTGTGAGTACGCGACTGTGCTCCTCTGTCTCCGCTTTCCTTTCTCCACCCCCGCTCGACATCGCAGGAGGTGCTGAAGAACGTGCTGCTCTTCACCAATGACGATGATCCCTCTGGGGCCATACAGGTTCCCTGTTTCAGAGGGTCCCATCCCATGTGTAACTGTGATTCTTCCCCGTCCCTGTCCATTTCCCACCATCAGATCCACGTCTCCGGAGCTGCTGAAGAACGTGCTTCTCTTCACCAACGACGATGACCCCTTTGGAGCCATCTTCGTTGCAGGTGGTCACGTGTATGACTATGTGAATGTGGTCTCGTCTGCCTCCCTCTCCTCTGCCCACCATCAGATCCACGTCTCAGGAGGTGCTGAAGAACGGGCTTCTCTTCACCAACGACGATGACCCCTTTGGAGCCATACAGGTTCCCTGTTTCAGAGGGTCCCATCCCATGTGTAACTGTGATTCTTCCCCGTCACTGTCCATTTCCCGCCATCAGATCCACGTCACAGGAGGTGCTGAAGAACGTGCTTCTCTTCACCAATGACGATGACCCCTTTGGAGCCATCTCCAACGAGGGAGTGCGGAGCGACATGCGGCGCACCACCATACAGAAGGCCAAGGTGACTTCCCCCCTTTCTACCAGTGCCCGTTGTTGCTGTGTGGCCCTCTCCAACGAGGCGCCACCGGTGCTTTTATCAGCGACTCGTGGTAATTTCCTTCCAACCCTCGAGAGTGACTTTGTTGTCTGAATCAACCCAAAAGTATCCCTGACTCAATCCAAAAGTGACTTGTTCTTTCCGTCCAAATCCTGGTGTCTCTCTACGCTACCACCTTTCCCCCGGGCCCTGCTGCAGGATGCACGGGCACTGGGCATTCAGATTGACCTCTTTCCGCTCAGCCGCCCGGGGGAGAAGTTCAACTCCAACATCTTCTTTGCGGTGAGCTCATTCCCCGCCCATGTGAATCTTCCAAGATGGGCAATACATTCTACGTGGTCCAGCTCTATTGATAAACTCAGCCCCCCTCCGGTGTGTCAGGATGGCCGAGTTGGTCTAAGGCGCCAGTTTCAGGTACTGGTCCGAAAGGGCGTGGGTTCAAATCCCACTCCTGACACGATTGCCCACATCTTTTCCCTTTCTCCCCACTCGAGTGCTTTTTGTCTCGTCCTGTTCGTCTTCTAGACGTGCAATACATCCTGCCGGCCGATTTAGCTTGACAATCCATTTCCTTCCATCCATCGCTTTCGTTTTCTCTCCCTACCCATGCGTCAGGACATGCTAGGTGTTGATGATTCACAGCGAGTGGGCTTCCAACCAGAGGAGCACAGGCGAGTGCCTTCACATTCACTCTAGGTAGTGCTTCCTCTGTGCTACTTACTAGTGCATGCTAGCGCCTGCTCCATGCAGCCACGCTCTCTCACTGCACTCGCAACGAGCAGCTTCCATCCAACCAGAGGAGCACAGACGAGTGCCTTTTGAGACTCAAAAGCCACTTTACAGCACTCGCTCTAGGTAGTGCGTCCTCTGTGGTGCTTCCGTCCTGGTGCATGTTAGCGTCTGTTTTGAGTCGACTCAAAATAGAGGAGCACAGGCGAGTGCCTTCACTCTAGGTTGCACGTCCTCTGTGGTACTCCCTTCCTGGTGCATGCTAGTGCCCAATCCATGCTGTCACTGTCCCCAGAGGAGCACAGGCGAGTGCATGCACATTCACTCTAGATAGTGCGTCCTCTGTGGTACTTCCTTCCTGGTGCATGTTAGCTGAGTCGTGCCCTCAGAAACTGCCTATTCTCCCACTCCTTCCATACACTATCAGACTGGATAACTGAATTCACTCTCTTCGACCTCCCTCTGCTTTCTCTCCCCATGGCACCACCACCACCAGGCTGAGCGACCTGCAGCAGCGGCTGCACAAAAATGTGTATTGCAGGCGAATGGTGAAGCAGCAAGCCATGTTCTCCTTGCCTTTCCTTTTCATCTCTCTCCTCGCACCACCACCATCAGGCTGAGCGATCTGCAGCAGCGGCTGCGCAAGAAGGTGTATCGGCGGCGAATGGTGAAGCGAATCATGTTCGCCGTGCTGCCTCACCTCCACATCGCCCTCTCCTCCTACGCTCTCATCCGCCCTGCCAAGATCCGTGCGTCATCCCCTCCTGATGCCGTATTGTGCTGCCCGTCTCATGTTCCGCGTCTCTCTGAACGACCATTTTCTTCAGCATATCCCTTTTGACTTCCCTGCTTAGTGAGCAATCCATCCTCCCAGCCTCTTCTCGCTCCTGCCTCACCTCCACATCGCCCTTTCCTCCTATGCGCTCATCCGTCCTGCTAAGATCCGTGCGTTACCTTGCATCAACCCCTGTTAACGTCCCTGCCAGCCTCCCTGTTAGCGATCCACCCTCCCAGCCTGTTCGCCGTGGTGCCCCACCTCCACATCGCCCTTTCCTCCTATGCGCTCATCCGCACTGCCAAGATCCGTGCGACATCTTCTTTATGCGCCATGCCTTGCCTCGCTCTGAACCCTGGTGCACTCCCCTGTTCAATTAGCAATCAATCTTCCCAGCCTCTTCTCACTGCTACCCCACCTCCACAACTCCCTCTCCTCCTAGGATTTCATCCGCCCCGCCAAGATCCGAGCATTGCCTAGCATCAACCCCTTGCCTTGCCTTAGCTTCCTTAGCGCCCTTCGCTCGGCGGCCCACTCAACTCATCTTCCAGCTCTGAAAGGGCCGTGTTGGGCCTTTAGGACCAACTGCCACGGAACCTTGGTTCCCTTGTCCCTCGCAGTGTGTTCAGGGGAGCAGGTGTACTGAGTGTGTTCAGGGGAGCAGGTGTACTGAGTGTGTTCAGGGGAGCAGGTGTACTGAGTGTGTTCAGGGGAGCAGGTGTACTGAGTGTGTTTGTAGGCAACAACAATCAAGTTCTGAGACGTCTTGAAATTCTTTGTCTCGCCCCTTGCTGCTGCTGTGTGTGCAGAAAAGCAAGTGTATGTGAGGGCGGTGGACAATCGCACTGTGAAGGTGGGTGAGAGGAGGAGGGAAGAGTAGGGGGCAGAGGAGAGGTGCATGGGGAAGGGATGGGAAGGGAGCAGAGGTGAGGTATGAAGGGGGAGGGGGAGGGAAGGGTGGAGTGGTGAAGTGCACTGGGGCGGGGGCAGAATTAAAATAGATCCGAGATTATTGTGGGTTGAGGTGAAATGTGCAAGGGAAACCATCATTGTATCACTAACTAGTGCGTGACTCCCTATACATGAGCTTGCATGCATCCATTACCTTGCATGGTATCGGCATGCATGGGTCTGCATGCATCCATTTGCGTGCATGGTATTGGCATGCATGGGTCTGCATGCATCCATTAGCGTGCATGGTATCGGCATGCATGGGTCTGCTTGCATCCATGCTACTGTGCGGGTACACATGCTTGCAGGTGGAGACAGCCCTGGTGTGTCAGGACACGGGGGCAGTTCTCCACGGCCCATTCTTGAGGCGCCTCAGATATACCTGCCTCACAGTGTGTGCACACATGTGCACCCTTTGCTATGCACGCACACACACACACACACATACACACACACACACACACACACACACACACACACACACACACACACACACCCATGCAGGTGGAGACAGCCCTGGTGTGTCAGGACACGGGGGCAGTTCTCCACGGCCCGCTGCCACGTTACCTGCCCATTCCAGGCGGGTAGGTTCGGGAAGGTAGCTTCAGATATGCATCGCCCAGATGTTCAAACATCCTCTCTACATCTGCCTTTGTCATCATGCAACATTTCTTCCACGGCCTTGCACCCTCCTTGCACCCTCCTTGCACCCTCCTAGCACCATTCTACTCCAGTGTCTGTATGTCTGTGTTCGACCCACTCCTTCCCTTCCTGCCAGGTTGCGCATTGTGACGGCAAATGAAGAGGCGGACCAGGTGAAGGCGGTGTGTCCGCACGACCTGCTGCTGCGCGTCTCTGTGTGACTGATTCCCTCCCTTGCGCCACCTCTGTATGCTTCTGTGTGATTAATCCGCTCGTTTGCAGCACGCGCATCATCATGGCAAAGGCGGAGGTGGACCAGGTGAAGGCGGTGTCCCCCCACGACCTGCTGTTGCTGGGCTTTAAGCCGCTCCACTGCCTCAAAGACTACCACAACCTGCAGCCGCCCACCTTCCTCTTCCCAGACGAGGAGGTGAGTTGAGCAACCTGGCTTTTGAGTCGACTCAAAAGTCATGAACCCGTCGAACCTGGCAGAGATTCGAGGCGTCTCAATCCACAACAACAACCTGTTACTGCAGGGCTTCAATCAAGCCCCTCTAGTGTCTCAAGCACCTCTACTACATCACAACCTTCAGCCGTGCACCTTCCTCTTCCCACGTTGGCTATGAGTCGACTCAAAAGTCAACCTGTTACTGCAGGGTTTCAATCAAGCCCCTCTAGTGTCTCAAGCACCGTCACAACCTTCAGCCGTGCACCTTCCTCTTCCCACGCGAAGATGTGGGCATGGCAACCGAGGAGTTGCTTTTGAGAGTCCTTTAGGGAGTCTTAATTGCCCCTCTAGGACCAGCATAACCCGCACCCAAATGCACTCTTTCCAGATGAGGATATTCCCATGCCATTTTGTTTCATGTGCATCTGATGTTGTGTTTTGCACATGCGTATGGGTGTGTGTGTGCGTGTGTGTGTGTGCGTGTGTGTGTGTGCGTGTGCGTCTGTGTGTGTGCGCGTGCTGTGCATTGCGTGTGTGCATGTGTGTGTGCATTGCGTGTGTGCATGCGTGTGTGCATGCGTGTGTGCATGCGTGTGTACATGCCTGTGTGCATGCCTGTGTGCATGCGTGTGTGCATGCGTGTGTGCGTGCGTGTCTGCATGTGTATGTGTCCATCCCGCCAGACCCTCTCTGGCAGCACGGCTGCATTCATTGCCCTGCACAACGCAATGCTGGACGCAAACAGGTGATTGGGAAGCGGGGGGACGAGCACATTCCAGGCACCTTGCTTTGCTTCTCCCAGTCCTTCCTTGCCTCACTTGCCTCTCTTGCCTCGCTTGCCTCGCTTGCCTCACTTGCCTCGCTTGCCTCGCTTGCCTCTCTTTCCAGACACCTGACTGGTTCCCCCACGTCCATGCCACCACACTCTCTCACTTCCTGCTTTCAGTCCTCATTGGTTACGTGCTCCCCCTCCTCCTCCTACCCCTCCTCCTCCTACCCCTCCTCCTCTCCAACCAGCTTTGCACTGGCATGTCGGGCCAAGATCGGCTTGCCACGCCTCATCCTCCCCCTCATCTCCCTCCCACACCCTCTTAACCCCAACACGACTTTTGAGACACCCTCTCAACCCCAACCCTCACATGCATCAATCAGCTTTGCACTGGCATGTTGGGCCAAGATCGGCTTGCCACGTCTTGTCGCCATTGTTCCCCAGGTGAGCTTAATCCCTTTTTCCTTGATTCCATCCCTTTCTCCTGATTCCATCCCCTTCTCCCTCATTCCATCCCCTTCTCCCTCATTCCATCCCCTTCTCCTTGATTCCATCCCCTTCTCCCTCATTCCATCCCCTTCTCCTTGATTCCATCTCCTTCTCCCTCATTCCATCCCCTTCTCCTTGATTCCATCCCCTTCTCCCGCATTCCATCCCCTTCTCCCTCATTCCATCCCCGTCTCCCTCATTCCATCCCCTTCTCCTTGATTCCATCCCCTTCTCCCTCATTCCATCCCCGTCTCCCTCATTCCATCCCCTTCTCCTTGATTCCATCCCCTTCTCCCTCATTCCATCCCCTTCTCCCTCATTCCATCCCCTTCTCCCTCATTCCATCCCCTTCTCCTTGATTCCATCCCCTTCTCCCTCATTCCATCCCCTTCTCCTTGATTCCATCCCCTTCTCCCTCATTCCATCCCCTTCTCCCTCATTCCATCCCCTTGACCCTCATTCCATCCCCTTCTCCTTGATTCCATCCCCTTCTCCCTCATTCCATCCCCTTGAGTTGCTCTCTAGCTGGTGGGCTGGTTGAAAGTTCATGATCGAGTGCTTGCGCACTTGTTCTCTTACCTTCGGGTGGTGTCTCACCCATCCTATCCGCGTGTTGATCCTCCCATCTTGACCGGTGCAGCAAGAGAAGGTGGACGAGAGTGGCACGGAGGTGCAGCCGGCAGGGTGGCACATGATTCCTCTGCCCTTTTATGATGACCTCCGACCAGCCGAGAAGGTGAGAGCAGCTGAGCAGGTGACTTCTGAGAGGGAATGCTCCTTTCTTGTGCTATCTGCAGCAGGTGCAGCCGGCAGGGTGGCACATGATTCCTCTGCCCTTTTATGATGACCTCCGACTCGCCGAGCAGGTGAGATTAGAGAGGCCACATGAAATCCAACCAGGGGAGATTTGAGAGGCCACATGAAATCCAACCAGGGGAGATTTGAGAGGCCACATGAAATCCAACCAGGGGAGGCAGGTGAGAGGGAATGTTCGTTTCCTGTGCTATTCGAAGCAGGTGCAGGCAGCAGGGGGCACATGATCCCGTACCATTCATATGATGACATTCATATGATGACATTCATATGATGACATTCATATGATGACATTCATATGATGACATTCATATGATGACATTCATATGATGACATTCGACCAGCCGAAAAGGTGAGAGCAGTGGAGCAGGTGGGAGGGGCAGAGAAGGTGAGGGTTTTTTGTGGTATCCGAACCAGGGGAGAGGGAATGTTTGTGTTTTGTGCTATCCGAAGCAGGTGCAGCCAGGGAGGCACATAAACCCTCATGCAGACATCTCTATTTGAGTCAACTCAAAAGTCATAAACCTTCTTGCAGACATCTCCATGCCCCCATCTCCATGCCCCCATCTCTATGCCTTTATCTCCATGCCCATCTCCATGCCCATCTCCATGCTCATCTCCATGCCCATCTCCATGCCCATCTCCATGCTCATCTCCATGCCCATCTCCATGCTCATCTCCATGCCCATCTCCATGCTCATCTCCATGCCCATCTCCATGCCCATCTCCCCACTCCTCCCTCCGCCACTCCGTCGTGCCTCACCACACCATCCCCCATGTCCCCCATTACGGCAACGCTTTCCCTCCACTGCACCCACAGTATGCCCGTTGGGTGCCAGACCAGGGTGCAAAGGGCGCTGGGGGGGAAGGGGAGCAGGAGGGCAGTGGAGGGGAGGTGGTATCTGCACCGAGGGCGGATGCAGAGCAGGTGGCAACTGCCACAACGCTCATGCGCTACATGCACCTCAAGGACTTCAGCCCACTCAACATCCTCAACCCTGGTGGGTCTGCGTATTTGCATGCACGCATGGGTGTTAAGAGCAGAGCAGCGCTCATGCGCTACACGCACCTCAAGGGCTTCACGCCTCTTGACATCCTCAACCCTGGTGCGTCCGCTTGTTCCCATGCATGCATGCATGGGCGGGCAGAGCAGAGCAGCCCTCATGCCCGCACGCACCTCAAGGACTTCACGGCTCTTAACATTCTCAACCCTGGTGGGTTCCCATCACATCCGTTCCCTCTCGTATCCCCTCCCCTCACATCCCAGGTTTGCTGAGCTCGTATGTGGGTCTGCAAGCATGGGCGGGCAGAGCAGAGCAGAGCAGAGCAGCCCTCATGCGTTACATGCACCTCAAGGACTTCGCCCCGCCCAACATTCTCAGGGGGACCTCCTCTACCCTTCCTCCTTCCCAGTCATCCAGACGCACTACTCCATGCTGGAGGCCATAGCCGTAGATCTGCCAGAGGTGGAGCCTGTGGTGGACACCACCCTACCAGACTACACGATCTTCCAGGCCCCTCCCCTCCTGCGTTGCCCTCCCTTCCCCATCCCACACCCCTGCAGTCATCCAGACGCACTACTCCATGCTGGAGGCCATAGCGCTGGACCTACCCGAGGTGCAGCCTGTGGTGGACACGACCTTGCCGGATTACAACATCTTCCTGCCCCCACTCTCCGACACCAACCAGCCTCGAAAAAAAGGGTGTGTTGTATTGCAATCTCGTCCCATGTGTGCTTACATGTGAGTGATTCCAGGATTGAGGTGTGTTGTGGGTACTAGAGACAAGGGAAGATGAGGCTGACTGATTTTTCCTGCGGTTTGATGTTTCAATGGTTCATGTTTGCTCGTTTTCTTGCTTTTGTGTCTGTCATTATCTATACGTACAGGAAAGCTGTTCGTGCAACTGCGGCTTTGAGGCATTTCAAGGACGCAGTATACGGCCCGGGGCATGATGAGGAGGAGGCGCAAAGAACAGCTACAGCTCGAGCCAAGGCAGATGCTGCTGAGAAGAAACGCAAGGCCACTTACGATGCCGCTACCGCCAAGGCCGGTGTTGTGGATTGGCGGGGTCTCGCTGAGAAAGGGAAGGTGAGTTAACAAGCTGCAAGTCTGGGGATGAGTGAGTTTGTTTTACTGATGGGTAGATGTATGACAGGTGGGTGGTTGGGGGAACGATGAGTATTGATGCGTTTTCCTGTTACCCTGTATGCAGCTGGAAACCTTGACAAACGAGGACCTGAAGGGATATCTCAGAATGTATAGCCTACCCCTCACTGGCCGGAAGGCAGAACTAGTGCAACGCATCAAAGAACATCTGGACCAGTAGGGATTTATATTTGTTTCGCATTACACAATTTGCAACGCATTGTTTCTTATCGGGTACACGCTGAAAGTCGATTCAGTGAATCAGTTCAGATCAAGGGTTCCCATCCCAAGGGTGCGGATTAGTTGGCATCCAATCGGAGCATTTTGTCTGCCCCCACGCAGGAGCCCGTTGGGCCACATATCGTCCAACAGCAAGTCTCGTTCCAACAACCTCAAGGACCCACTGCCCCTCGTGCAGTTTTGATTGGTGCATTCTGTGCTGCGACGAAACCAAGGTCTGATGCGACGGTATCGGGTCCAGAATTGCAACGACGAATGCGACGTGACCCGCTGGCCCATTTTGGCGGTAGTGCGTGCACCAACCAATGCCCTGCCCAGGGCCAGCGATTCGGCGACCCTCGCTGTCGAAATACTTCGCTAATCAGTTACCTGTTCGCAATGATCAGGCTTGTGGCTGGCGACTTCAAAAAATTTCCCCTCAACTGGAGCTCTGCGACGTCTCGACTCGCGACTGGTTGGCCAATGCGGGAAGACAGTTGTGCGGCCCTTGCCAGCATATCCGCGACTAGCGTGTGATTTCGTCTGACTCCCCTGCTCAGGGCTGTCGATTCAAGAACATTTGCCCTTAATGCCCTGAACATTCCGGGTTACGTCTGGCGCAGCTCGACCATTTTAAGGGTTTGATTCGACTGGCACCCGTGCCAGTTAAGGGCATCGTTTGGCCCTTCCCCGGATGCGTTAAGTGCTCAATCTGGGCTGTCCCCTGAATCTAAGTTCTACTTTCGGTTCCGCAGACCACCCCCTAAAATCTTGCGGAACACCCCCCTCCCCTACCCCCCCTCTCCATGAAAGTTGCACAATAGGGCGACAGGTGGAGGATGTTTCTCTCGATTTTTATCCAATCTAGTGTGTGTGTTGTGTCGAAGTCAGGAGATGAGTAGAAATGCAGTAGGTAGTGCAACTGTAGTTGTAGTTGGAAGTTGTGACATACAGGTTGACTGGAGTAGTTAGTAGTGAGAAGCATGTGATTTTCCTGTCTATGATGTTGTTTAGGTTAGTTAAGTACACAGCACATTGGAGCCCGGATTTCAAGTTTACACTTCGGCCTGCACCCGTGACCGTTAAGGGCGAAAATTTGGTCACCTCCCTGAAAATCAGGGTCAGAATTTCAGCAGCTGGGGGCCTCAAGTTCTGCCCCCAGGGATATCGACAGGCCTGCCCCTGCTGTACAGCCAGACCGAAACCCGCCCTTGCGCTCAACACAGAGTGGTGAAAAGCGTTGCACCTCGGTTCTGGATGTATCTCATAGTTTGGAGATCTCTAGGGTTGGGAGAAGTTAGCAGCCTATCCTCCGAATCGGCCAATTTTTCTGGGTGTCGCTTATTGGCACTAGTTGCTTACCGACGTCGCGTGAAGCGGCCATTCTAGTTATCGTGATAGGATTATACCGTAGTTGGCGATCTTAGTCGGAAGCGCAGAATGGCTGGTTTTAAAGTTACGTACGCGTAATGCACGTAGCTCGATGCATCTCCGCTTTATGACCTATTTTTTAGGTCGATTATGCACGCGATAAGACTAGGGACCTATTTAGCCATTACTATCGTCTAGGCAACCGTATTCTTTAGGCAGAGGATCATTCCAGGCATATTGTACGCAGGCAGCTTTGGGAGAGTACCAAATATCGAGCACGAAGTGAAACGAGCTGGAAGGGGAGCGCGCCCTAAGGGGAACGCGCAACCGCGCCTTCATGGAGTCTCCGCCGTCCCCGCCGTCCCCATCCGACGCCCTTCTTCTCCGCCAGGGCGGTAAACCTCTTCCGCCCGCCTCTCAATGCTTCCCCTGGCGCCCCCACCATTTCTCCGCGCGCCTCACTCCGCACGGTGCTTCCTCTCCTGGCGGAAGTTCCGCCGTCCCCCACGCGCGCGGAAACACACCTACGTGCTATGGCACGGCTGGCAGTCCTCTCCCCTTCGCACGAGTCCTCGAACTCATGGCCAGGCGCCGACGTGCGCGCAGCGGCAGCGTCGGCGGCGGAGGAGGATTAGGAGGAGTTGGTGGCGGCCGTCACGGTAGCCGGCCAGGCGGTGGGAGGACGCCGGTCAACAGTCAGCGGCGCCACGTGTCCGTCACAGGTTGGAAGCAGAATTCTTTTGACGGGGAGGAACTGGGTGAAAGCAGCAACGGTAAAGATGGCAGTAGCAGAGACAAGCTCCGCACGCGTAGCGCCAGGGAATGTGGCACGGGCAGCGGCAGGGATAGCGGCAGAGGTAGTGGCAGGGGTAGCGGCAGGAGTAGTAGCAGCAGTAGTTCCGGTAGCGAGAGCGCGTCGCCTCGTCACAGGACGTCGGGCGTTATAAAGGAGCCAGCAGGGAACACTATAACGGACACGAGCGCAGTTAGAGCGGACTTGAGTAAAAGGTTGGAGGCGTGCCGAACGCAGCAGGCGAGTCAAGGCAGCACGGATACGCGGGCTTTGGTTAGTGGCGCTGGGAAAGGGCGCGAGGAGGCGGGAGGCGCGGATAACCCGGAAGCGCAAGCCCGCGCAGTACAGGCGGAGGGGATGAGCGGAAAACCGGAGGATTTAGCGCAGCGTGCGCGGCTTGCGGAGGCGCAGGTGGACATGGCGGAGTTACAGGCGCAGGTGGTATGCGCGGAGCTGCAGTGGATACGGAGCGCCGTGGAGAGGCAAGAGGCGGGAGTAGCCGCCGTGCTGGCGGAACTGGCGGGGCTGCGCCAGCGCGTGCACCGCGCGCGAAGGTGCGCGGAGGGGGGAGATGGCGGGGACGGGGCGCAGGAGTCTGGGGAAGGGAAGATGCGCGAGGTGCAGCAGGTTGAAGCTGCTGTAGCGTCTGCGGAGGCGCGGCTATGGCGGGTGGAGGCGGCTGCTGCTGATGCGCGCGCCTCACTCATTGCCCTGGGCGGCGAAGCGGGGGGATTGGGGGGATTGGGGGGATTGGCGGGAATTGGGGCCGGGGAAGGCGGCAATGTAGGTGGATTGTGTGGTGAGTGCTGGTGCGAGAGTGGGCTGGGTAACCGTCCAGTGGAAGGCGGGATTGGGGTTGGATGTGGTGGGGAGGTGTGTGGGAGGATGAGAGGGTGTGCGGTGCTTGAGGGGTACGGTGTGGGGGAGGTGGGTTTGAGCGCAGCAGAATTTGCTCTGGAGCTACAGAGACGGTTAGAGGAAGTGCAGAAAGAACTGGTAGCTAAGGGGCAGGGGCACAGAGTGGTGCAGGAAAAGGAGAGGCGTGGAGTGGTGGAGGGGCCAGCAGGGGGAGTCGAGGGAGCTGGGGTTTCGCCCTCAGTGGAAGGAAAAGGGGAGCAGCCAATGGTGGAGGGAACAGAGCGGGTGAAAGGGGCCGGGCAGGCGAGTGGTGGGGTTGAAACAGATGGATTTTCAGTTTGTGAAAAGGCTTGTGAGAAAGGGACAAAAGAGAGTAATTGTGAATTGTTGGTTGGGAAACAGTCAAGGTTGGAAGTCACTGGGCGGGACGGAGAGGTGATGAAGCCAGAGGGAGAGGCATTATCAGGTGCCGGTGAATTGAGGTTTTGGGATAGAATAAGCGGGGAGAGCAAGCTGCTTTCGGGTGGGGGAGGGAATGGAGGTGTTCAGGGAGCTGCTGCTGATTTCGGTGGTGGGAAGGATATCCACGTGAACATTGGCCTCACAAGCTCAGCAACAATATTGGCATCACAAGCACGAGTCAACTCAACGCAAATGCACCAGAACCAGTTGTTTGGGAGTAAAGCACGCCAGTGGCAGCCGGTGTCAAGAACAGAGGACCAAGAAGAGGCCAAGATTCTTCGGGATGCAATGGAGTATCTTAAAAAGGAAGTAGAACGGGCACAGAAAGCAGCACCACCATTGGGTGCAATATGAGCTGGATTGGATATCAGGAAATTCTTCTTGTGCTGTCTAGTGTAAATATGTTCTGTTTTGTGTTATTGCCCACTCCACCCTATTTCGAGTCAGCACACCGTGCTTGTTTTGAAGTTTGACCTAAATTCGCGCCGGAATCGCCGGGGTGATTGCCACCCCACCCCCCGGAAGGTCGTCCCACTGCTGTTCACCGATGAACCTTTAGCACGCAGCAGGCACGCGCCCTCGACCGACCTGGCGGAAAAGGGCAACCGTGGAGCCGACACACAAGGGCAAAAGGTAGACACAGGCCCACGTGGGAGATTCGCGTCGCGTCTGGAGCTGATTATACACGTCATTGTTGAGCTTGTAGTGGTGTATGATCTGCGTTATTCCTGCCGCAATTTCCGTTCGGTGCTCTCGACCAGTGCAGGCCTGGCAAGCGACAGATAATTGGCGACGAAATCAGGGTTGAGACTGGAGCAACCTGCTAGTCGCAGAATCGCAGGCATCGTTGCCACCTGTCGTTCGGATAATCGCAGAGCGGAGAACGCAGATTGTGCTCAAATTGCAGCAACACACCAGCAGCATCAGCACCAGCACACCAGCGGCACTGGCGGCTGCGCGGATTCATGATCTGGGATGAACCAAAAAACAGACTTAGACCAGACCAAAGAGCTCTTCACCACACCGTCTTCCTCAATGAGCAACAAGTATCTTATCAGCTTAGCTGAAAAAGAGCCCACTCACCCCTCACTTGAATTTTGAGACTCATACATTGTTGATTTGAATATCACGTCCTCATTCTAGACGCTTGACGATCCTTCCTTGAAGATCCTTCCCCAGCTGGCTTCATCAAACCAAACACTAGCATCACGCGCTCTCGTCTACACACAGGACATCAATTTCCAGAGTTTTTTCCTTCTCCAAAAATTCGTCACGCCATGTTGCTAGTATATTCCTCCCTGGTCAGGCATAGTCCGCTTAGAGTGTCGACACATGGCGAGACGCTCCCTCGCTCGCTGCCAAGGCAGAGGAGCTCCGGCGTCGTACTTCGTAGACGAGGATCAGTAGTCAGGGCTTCCCTTGCAGTGCAACCAGAGAGACGGAAAAGAGCTTCAGACTGTTACGCTATCTTGGGTTTGACTGCACAAGCAGGAGCAGATGAAATTCGGCAAGCTTACAGACGACTCGCACGCATTGTACGAAATCTACACGCTAACCACAGCTTCGAATTTGTTCTGCTTTTGGGCCCAATCCCTTGACTCCTCTCGCTTGCGCTCTGTGCAGTATCATCCTGACACTAACTCATCAGAGGATACAGTACCGAAGTTTCTAGAAGTTCACGAAGCATACAAGGTCAGTCCCCATGGCATTCAACGACGAGTGTGTGTGTACATTCGCTCCTCTCGTCCTCCCTGCCTCTTCGCTCTTGCAATCAGCTCTTGGAATGGTCCTGAATGATAGTACTTGCCATTGCAGATTGCCTTGCGGCGTCAAGAGAGAGCCCAGGCAAAGGCACTTCTTGAATCTCAGTCTCCACCAAAATCCTCCAGGCCACTCAAAACCGCTGGGAAACCACGCAGACGAGAAAACTGGGATGATATCTGGGACGACATTCTGGGGTCCACCACACAAAGGAAGACTCCAAAACGACAATAAGGGAGTTCAGAACCGCACTGAGTTCCACATGCCAAAAAGAGTCTCAGCGCTTGTACAGGTTGAACTGGTCACAAGGAAGTGACGCAGTTCATGCAACGTATACGCGTGTTGGAAGGCAATATCAATTATTGTAATATGTATTTTAGGCGTTAGTCGTTAACTGGTGATGATGTATGCCATACCGTAAGACAATTTGAGCATGAGTTATTATGGCAGGTTCATCCTCTGGCAATGGTCACACATCATCTCGACATCTGGTGATCTTGTTTGCCTGCCAGTGCATGGTGACAGCAAGGGGAAAGGGGAGGCGTGTCACCTCGGGGCTGGAAGGCCCAAATAACGAATTCACTGTACGAACAGTCTCCAACACAAAATTTGAACACGCTGGTGAATGTAACAGCTCTTCACCAGAGGTGACCCCTCTCTTTTTGAAGACGCATCCTGTTCCAACATGCTACGTCGTCTACAACAGGGCGGTATTGCCAAGCTTCGCAAGAAAAACTTCCAGTCGCCTGCCATTCCAGTTCGACCCATTTTTCGCCCATCCAGTCACAATGACTCCTCGTACTCCTCTACTCCAGTAGCCTACCCATTTTTCCCAGCTACACTACCCTTTCCGATGCACTGCGGCAGTTTCCAGTGAGAAGCGATTTCGCTAGCGACTGCTGTCCAATCAGAGGCGTCGTCCGTGCTGGGAGGGGGGCGCGCAGCACATTTGGCAGCATGCCCGATGTGACAGGGCTGTTCGGATTGGCGAAACTTTTAGTTAGCGACGTCATTAGGGTGCCTACGAGGCCTGGCGAAGCATGTAACATCGCCTGTTCGAACCCGGAGGTGACACGCCCTGAATGACCCATCATCCATGTTCTGGTAGAATGTGCAAATTGGTCACTTCAGTAATTTTGTTTGTGAAATACGTTGGAGGATGCTAACAATGTAGCTCATATTGTTCCAGTACTTGGAAAAGGTACATGATGAGAACATTGCTAACCAAGTACCTTAGCTTATATCATAATGTAGGTGAGAAAGGTTGCCGAATTAGGCAAGATGACACGGCCCTTTTATATGTACAATATATATATTTTATTCTTACTGTATGGGCATTACTGATTATATTTTTTCAGTACGGTATGAGAAAGCATGGGAATCTGTGAATGTGGATGTGGAGGAAAGAGCTATATATGGTATCATAGAATATGCAAGTGTAGGCATGTAGTGATGTCAATTTTTACTGCTCTTTTGTGATGGAGTCGCACGTCGCGACGCGAATCAAGTGCTAGACATCCCACTTCCTTCAGACTGAAATTTCTCAATTCCTCCCAGTACCCTTGGTTCTGACCAGCAACCGAGCAGTAAATCAACCCGCGCCTGCTTGCCCAAACCAGTCTTCAATCCTGCCCGACCCACGTCGGGGCACGTCTTTGCCCAGAGCAGACACGTTTCAGAGTTCAGCCCGTGACTTCCGAAACACATCTACAGTGCCAGCGTCATTCTTGCCGCAATCTGGGGAACAGAAATTTCGGGTCTCTCTCAGTGTGCTGGCAGCTGGAATTGTGGTTTGTTCCCGTGACTGGAGGCGGCTCCGTTCTTCAGTCGACTGCGTGGGCTGGGCAGCTGAAACGAACCGGAAGTCGCTTGGTTGATGTGGCTCAGGGAAGTGCATGGATGTGCGACAGTCCACACGGCACGCAAGTGACACCGCCAGCCAGTCAAACTGGTTGCCAAGAGATGTGCTGAACGTTTGTACGTTGCTTGGAGCGTTTAGGAACGGTAATGAGTGGTGCGCCTAAGGACGAGGCCACATGGATACGGCGAAGGCGAGAGCCAACTGATGAGGACGTCTGAAAGTGAGTCGGCTGATGTGGATGAAGTGGCACTGGTGGTGGCCTTGAAATAGCACCATCATCCATTGTACTCCGACCAATCCTGCTTCTTTCTATCAACTGAATTCTGATCAATCCTTGACATTTTTCAGAATCCTTGAAAATAATTGTGAGCGGACTAGAGTCCTAGTCAGCTTATCAACTCACACTCGCATACTAAACTGGTTCTGGGAGACTGGTATTAGCCCTACGCTGGTTACTCAACGACAATCTAATCCATCACTCCGTCTTAGTTCCACACTCCAGCGCTAGTTCAGCAGTCTAAGGCAACGTTACCCTAGCTCCAGAGCTATGGCTCTTTCCGCCTCGCCGCTCCTGTCCTCACCAGCGAAGATGCCATCTCAGTCCAGACTAAACGGACGGAGTCCCTTTAAATCATCCCCTCCAACCGCTCGACGATTGTTCGTAGAGGCTCGGATAACAGTAGCTCCGGAACGACGACGAGCCACGCCGAACTGCTTCACTGTGCTGGGAGTCCCTGCTAGTGCCGGAGCTGACGAGATTAGACAAGCATACAGACGACTCGCGCGCATTGTAAGCACACTTACTCGATTTTCTGAATTCTCCCTCGGTTACACTGCTCAGTCACCTTTTCCAATCGCAAGTGCATCATAGTGAATGCTGACGCTCTTTTTCGGCAATTGTTTGCCTTGCAGTATCACCCCGATGCCAGTGGCGCTGACGACACGACATCTATGTTTCTGGAAATCCACACGGCTTATAAGGTAAGCGCGGACTGCTGCGTCTCAACAATTCTGCTCAATATAATGTGAATGTCCGAAGGAACACAAGTTGTGTCAATCTTAAACTGGACGTACAGAGTATACACTAACCTTCTTTCATCTTTCCGTCCTGTTATCTGCAGTCCGCTCTCAAGCATCAAGAGAGACGACAGGCCAAAGCATCCATGGCGTCCACGTCTGAAGCAACCGTCAAGCCGTCCCCGTCCTCTAAAACCCCGCAAAGACCCGCCAGGAGAAGAGACGATTTCGACGACATTTGGGACCTCATGGGTGCGTCGCCTCGTCGGCAGGCCTCTCCGCGGAGACAAACCACGCCCAAACACGTTTAGCTTTTTGATGGCAACAACACATGCTTTTACCTTTGTCGGAACGTCATCACGTCCACTGGCTTCAGAGCCTCTGTACAAACGCCATTTTGGGGACGTGGCCTCACTTAAGACGAGTTGCTAGCTAGCCGTAGAGTGCCGTGGTCCGTTCCAGCATACCAGTCCCGCTTGGAAAGGTTTCTTAGGTCCAAGGCCCTGCTTCCGCTTCCAACGGCTGTTGGGCGAGTTGCAACTTTGCGCAGGGTAAAGATAGGAGTAGGAAAAGGATACTTAGGAAAGAGTTTCTACACCTGGATAGTTCTACCAGGTATAGTTTCAGTGCAGTTACCTAAGCGATGCTCTTGTCTGCAAGCAAAATTAATATTCATTCATGTAATGTGGCCAACAGTTCCAAACGCGCACCTGCAATGCAAACCTACTTCCACATACAGACAGCGACATGAGGCTGCGGTTGGGAACTCGCGCCGTACAGCAGCTGGCCGAGTGAGTGCATGAGCTGCAGCTAGGGGAACATGCCAGCAGTTGGTCAGGTACACCAAACCAGCACATGCTCCGGAAATTAAGCAACCGCGTTATAGAGGGCCCATACCAGAAGCAGGAAGTACAGGTAGACATTACCTTTCCCAGTACGTGTAATTTCAGTGCTGCTACACTTGATTATTATGTTGTGAATAACCAGCTACACAACCCAACCTCATAACTAACATTTCAACTTCCTGCTGAGGGTAAAATTATTTGTTTCTTCCTAGCCCATCTTGTGCATTCCAAACTCAGAGTCGAATCAAACCATGCAGGTTTACCTCCATATTTCACACAGATAAATGGCAAAAGACGTATTGGGTCACACAAACAGGACATGCAGCTCAACATGCGCGGTTTGGATTGCCTCCACCCATGCCAAACACCTAGCATAGCTTCCAGCATAAGATAACCCAACTAAAATACTACCACAATCTAGTACCGGAAATCACTACACAATAGATGGTGCGTCCCCTACCCATGTGCATGACGCTCGCTGCCACCGAGTGCGGATACAATCCACGAGGGGAGCTTCACGCGAAGCGCGCTGCATCGGATTCACACTCGAGTCAAACGAGTCTGCCACCACCTCGGGAGGAATATCATCCGCCCCACTGCCCTCAGGCCTTGGTATCATCATCAGATCCTCCGGGGACCATTTGGGCGGCACGGTCACATGGAGCCGGACTAATCTCGGCCGTTGATCCATTGCAGTCAACGGCGGTGATAGCACACGCTGTGGCACATCCAAACCTCCATACGACATGTCCCCTGCTCCATTTCCCCCAGAAACTCCTGCTGCTGCTGCTGCAGAGCTGCTTCCTGTCTGCACGCGCTTTGCAATCCCATTGAAGTGATACAAGTCAAACTTCCTGCTGGCAGGTCGTCCCCCACTCGACCCCTCTCTCTTGAACCCTCCCTGGGATCGGTCCAGCTTCAGCAGAGCCTGCCACAGCTCGTTCCACACAATTACCCCCAACGCCGAAAGCGAGTCTATTGTTTCCGGAGGGAAATTTACCCTCAGCTCAGCCAGCATTGGTTGAAGTGACTCCACAGCAACAAACCCTCCTCCCCCGCTGGTATCAAAGCGGTCAAACACCTCTCTGACCCGCGACTCCTCTGCTTCCGCATCATTCTCCTCCTGTACTTCAGTCGAAAGCGCAAAGAGCACGGTGTAGTGCGATTCGCTGCCCACCACCCAGATGGGCAGCTTGGGATGTTTTAGTCGCTGCCCGACCTTGCAGAGGTTGAGGGACTCCAGGAGTGTGAGGAAGCCCACCTGGGCCTCTGAGGGAATGCCTTTAAGCGCCATGCCTCCTCCCAAGTCCATGGTACCATCAAATACGTTCGCCACTGCCTCACCACACAGCAGAAGGTTCACAATCTCCTGGAGAGGGTTCAGGCAGGGGTGTGGAGGAGAGGAGAAGCGTCAGTGATGGGGATGAGGTCGCATGACGAGAAGGCTTGAAAGAACTTGTTGATAGAATCGTGGGGGCTAGGCATGAGAATGGAGAGTGAACTCAGTGTTGATCGGAGGGAGTGCGGGATGAAAGGAAGGGCTAGTGACTGAGCAGAGCTAACCAGTTTCCTAGCAGGGCCATGTGAGGCACGATGGCACCAACCTGTGAGGCATGGCCGAACGGGCGTGTGACAAGCGGTGGCTCTGGGTCGTCCCTGTCCTCTTGAACTCGCTCCTGTGAGGGGAGACAGCCCAGAGGGTAAAAGCAGAGAGGAAGCATGAGCATATCTGAGTTTTTTGGAAGAGGGGCAGAGTAAATAGGAGGTGTAAATTTCTGAGCGAAGGTCAGCCTACCGAACCCTTGATATTACTTATGCTAATCCCCTTGACGAACAGGTGCATTCACTCACAGGTCCTCTGGAGAGCAGCGCTGAGAAGAGTAGCAGCAGTGCGCCAAAGTCGCTCTCAAAGACTGGAAACAGCCGGTGAAGCGCCTTCGCCACGTCAGCATGCGACGCCCCTGCCAGGTGTCGCACTCTGACTGCTCCTTGAAGTGCTTTCGCATCGCTGATTGGGTTGGTCAGTGGTTGTTGAGAGGCTGAAGTAGCCAAAGCAGCCAGCCTGTGTGGTGATACGGCAGCAATGACAACTCTCTGCCCTCTGCTTGGCACCCATAACGACTCTGTCATTGCCAACACCAGTGCCCTGCAGCAGGGGGAATAAAGGGGAACAGAGGAGCAATCCCTTGTGTTGTCAGAGAAGTGACCGCTTGTGTTGCCAACCAAAGCTGCCAGCCTGTGTGGTGATACGGCAGCAATGACGACTCTCTGCCCTCTGCTCGGCACCCATAATGACTCTGCCATCGCCAGCACCAGCGCTCTGTAGCGGAGGTAGATAAAGAATCATTATGAGGAGGGGGAGAATGGGGAAGAAGGGGGAGGGAACGGATAAAGAGGAAGGGGAGGAGGAAGAGGAAGGTAAATGGGTTTAGAATGAAGGTACAGATGGATGGCAGCAGCACAGATTTGAGAGAATGACAAAGGGAGAGGCGACACAATACATAGCTGAGGTGAAGAGCTAAATGTTTACACTTGGGAGAAACTTGACGAGCCAATCCCTCCATTGCTCATTGCGTACTGCTTACCTTCGTCTCTCAACCTGTGAGAAAATCAGAGCGGCCTCTCCTCCCTCGCCTTCTTCTCCCCCCTCCCCGTCTCCGTCCCTCACAGCTTCCAAGCCTGGCAGCGCAGCAGAGTCGCCTGAACCCTCCCTCTCTCCCTCTCCTGCCGCCACAGCAGCCATACCAGAGGCAGCACCAGGAACAATCCCAACCACACCACCACCAGTAGCAGCACCACCTGCACCACCTGTATCACCAGCAGAACCAGTAGCAGCAGCAGCAGAAGCAGAAGCAGAAGCTCTATGATACACTCTCCCTTGCACATCCAGGCCTGGCATCGAGTCATAAAACCTCATATCATCCTCTTCCCATCCTCCCTCGTCCGCCTTCCTCCCCTCCCCTGCCTGCCCCCCCTGCTGCCCAGCGCTCGCCCCCCCAGAAGCAGCACCACCGGCAGCAAGGGCGGCGGACGCGGAAGGCGGGCAGGAATCCGCGGGGTGCGCGGGCACGGGGGGGAAGAGGAGGTATTTGAGCAGCAGCGCCTGCACTGGCGCCAGCACCCCGCACGGCCCCCCCTCCCTCTGCACTAGCCCTAACGAAGTCGCCGGGTCGTCACTAAACCTGAGGCAGGAAGGACAGTCGTAGGGCAAGGGGGGGTGTAGAAAGCAAGGGAGAGAGGATACGGAAGGTGGGGAACGAGGGACTGGGAGGAACGATGCCGAGATGTTTTCACAGATCAATAGAAGGTAAATTGGAACTATACTGAAAATTCAATGTATTACCTGAAGCCCTGTCGGGACCACTGCGAGAGGGTAGCAGCAGGCGGGGACCGCCCAAAAACCATGTCGAACAGCCGAAACGCGTCGTCCAATGGCAACTCCGCCAACCCCTGCTCAACCTCCCAACGCCTCTCCGCCTCCCTCCACCCCTCTCCACCCACCACAACCTCCCCACCACCCGCCGTACGAGCATTCCCAGACCCCCCCATGCCAGACCCCTCAGGTCCAGCCAAGTTCGATTTCGATCCCTCAGCTTCCGTTGCGCTTCCCTCTGTAGTTTTCCCTCCGAAACTCGCGTCTTCGGTTCCTGGAACTCTCACGTCTCCTGCCTTGCCTTCTACTGACGCCTTCCCGCTAGTCTGCTCTGCCAGCGAATCGCATGCCTGATCCGCCATGTCAATGTCATGGACACGTGGCGGAATGGGATTG